GTGGAAAGAGTGGAGGCAAAAGCCCTCGTGTTCCCCAACTGGGAGGAGAAAAAAGCTGATCACAACTGTCAGAGCTCTGAAAGCTTCCTGTGTGACTGACTACGACAGTCTCCTCCCTCACCCCACAGTGCTACCTCGGAAACAGGTGTAAGAGCAGAATGTAGGAGCGGGTCTGTCTTCCACCTACAGCTGCAAAGATTTAAGGTTGAAAAGAACTCCCGGGATTGCTGCATCAAAGATGAGTCAAGATAAGTCCTGAAGCATCTTCTTTCTTGGAAACCTCTCTAAAAATATGTCATATTTCCTGAAGTTAAATACAGATCAATTGCTACTCCTGCCAGAGACAGGGGACTGGACAAAGTGGCCCCAGGCCACTCTCCTTCAGACCTGCCTCCTATATGTCACTGCCAGACCACCTAATCCATTTGACACCATGCACAGAGTGTCCACAGTCTACGAGGTTCACCAGGTTACAGAAATATTTGAAATAATTTGAAATAAGTGTTAACCTCCAAAGGCTGAAGGTAACCTGTAAAATTCAAAGCGACAAACCCTTCATTAAAGGCCTACAAAATATAACATGATGTTAGCTAGTCCACTGCAGCTCAACTCTTACAGTTCTATATGCATGACATTTACCATAGGACGTAGAGCAATTTGCTCTGCTTGCTATGAGGTAGGATGGAGCCTCTAGAAGCCAGCATCCAGAGCTTACGAAGACTTTTAAGTGGCTCTGCTTATCTGCCTTCTGCAGACTCAAGCCCATCTTCCCAGTTACCAGGCCTCACATTCCCCTTCACTAGGCTAGACTATCCAACCCTCTTTCCTTCCCTGGTCCTCTTCTCCCTTGTCCCCCTTGGGTCTTGCTCTCCTCATTTCTCCTGTTTCATCCTGGCTGCCACTGTCTAACAGGACTAAAACAGATGCCCCAGGAATCTCCCACGAGCCTGGACAGGCAGCTCAGCTCCTCCTCCCACCCTCAGGAGGAATCTCGGCAGCTGGCTCCGGCAAGGGCCAGCAGAGCCAAGCCCTGATCTCCACAATCCAGTGGGCAGTGAGGGGCTGACCCCAGGCTTGCCTGACCAGGCTAGCGTGGGCGGGATCTCAGCCAAGTAGGAAACTAGGAGGTAGGAAAGATCATGTAGCTATTAAGGGCACAGGCTTTGGAATCGCAGACCTGGACTCAACCCTGTCCGCTGGGTGACTGGGGACAAATTATTTTATTTCCTTGACTTAGCTTTGTCATATGTGAAACTACACCCATAATTATTAAAATGGGGTATGCATTATTATGCCAAAATGATTATATCCATAATAACAGTCTTCCCCGAAGGACACTGAGAGTAGTTATAAGGCTTAAGACGGAATAACGTGTGGTGAGCTTTCGTTTTATACGGTAACAACAGCTGACACTTTTGAGTATGACTGTATTCCACTTTTCCTGGCATTCTTTCAATGAATTCCCATGATAACTATGACAGAAGTCCTATGTTTCATTCCTGTGCTGTCGATAAGAAAACTTCAGCTTGTGGACCAGCCCCATAGCACAGTGGTTAAGTGCTATATACGGGGAACCAGATCACACATGGCTGAAAGCTGTTCAAATCCTATCTCCAAATGCTTTAAAAATGCCCTGATGGGCCAGCAGATGGTCCAGCGGTTACATTGCTGTACTCCCACATGACTGACAGCGGTTCAAGTCCCAGACTCGGTGGCTTTAAAAATCATGCCGGGCATGTGTGCATGAGTGCCCAAGATCCTGGGAAGAGAATGGAGGAGAAGGGATTGCAGCAAGGCCATCCCTCTGGGTGGTGACTTATCACTTTCTCTCTCACTGTGTCTGTGTGTGTGTGTCTCTCTCTCCAGCAAGCACATGTGCTCTAAGGCAAAAACCTCTCAACAACAACAAAAAAACACACTGAATGTCCAAAATTCTGATGGGCTGGAGAAACGGAGGAAAAAGAATTGCAACGTGATCACGTCCCATTAGATGGGATGCTTCCTCTCTCTCCTTATCTCCCTTTCTCTCCCCCTGACAAGTGCACATGCCCTCTGGTGATGAAATTAAAAAATAAAAATAAATTGTACCTTAGAGACCTTAAAGACCATGCCATCAACCATGCAGAGCTGGCATGTGAACATAGGTAGGTTTAACCCCACCCCTACAAAAAATGCCTCCAAGATGGTAGCTTTATAGGTCACTATCAAATGGGCAACCCAGAAAAAACACTAAGATAAGAAGCAGAAAAACTTGGGACTGAAACAAGGCTCTGCCTCTAGGCAGGTGTAAGGTTTCAAGCAATCTTGGGGCCTCTCTCAACCTGTCTCCTCATGTACTCGTGGAAATAACAAGACCTGTCTGGTCAACTGCACAGGATCACAGCCAGGCTCAAATCAGGTGCCAGATGTGAGGGCTGTGTGCACCCACAATCACTCGGCAAGCATGTAATGATGAACCTGCTCTGCCCTGTGCCAGTCCAGTAGCTGTCTGAGCCCCACTTGAATACTTTCAGGGACGAAGAGCTCACCATTTCATTTAGAAGTTCATTCTGGTTAGAGTTCTTCTTTGCAAAGCCCAAAGTGACTTTCTCTAACCCTACTTCTCCTGCCAGGCCACTGAGCCAGGTCCTCTAATGCCCTGCCAGTTGGAAAGAATGGCTGCTGCACTCCACACCAGCTGCAGAAGACCCCCAAGACTTAGTCCTTGCTCCTGCCACCCAACCCTGGCCTTATGACCACAGAAGGAGGTAGATAAAACAATTGTGTTAATAGTGTTCTTGGTTTACACGGGCTCCTCTCCTACTGCAGACACTTCACCTGCCCCTGCTTATCAGAATCCTGGGCCGGGAGAAAATGATCTGGATGAAGGAAGAAGGTGGAAGACTGCTGCAACCTCTCACACTCCTGACACCCCTGCCCCTTGCAAACATCTGGGATACCCTACTGCTGCTGTCACCTTTAGCAGGCACTTGGGCTATGGGGTCAGGTTACCATGGGCCCTGGAAGGCTTCTGTTTTTTGCCCCAGCCAGCAACCCCAGTCACTCTTGTGTCCATACCTTAAAAGACTCCAAGAAGCCCCCATGGCCCCCATTCTCGAACTTGTCCTCCTCTGGGCCCAGGCCTAGCATGGCCTGCGTGTGGGTGTGGAGCTCATCATGGAGGTTGTCCAGGAGGGCAGCCCTTGTCCGATCCTAGAAGAGAAGGGAGTGAAGGTGAAGGAGCTGGCACTGAGAACAGAGAGCCCTTTCTCCCTGGGCTGCTATTCTGCCCAGTCACATCCCGGAGGCAGTGTGGACCACAACCAGGCTGGGTATCATGCTCACAGATGCTGCAATGGACACCAATGCTTCAGCCCAGTCTCCCACTCTCAACCCTCTGCCCTTTCTCCCTGGGCCATCCCAACACGCCGGCTCTACCTTGCGAAGATGTCTGCCCCAAGGTCCTCATCCACTATTCAACTGCCCAGGGCTCCTCCCCATTCAGATGTTCATCCTGGGCTCTGCGTACAGCCTTCGGGTGGCGCCATTCACACAGGGCAGGCCTAGCCCTCAGTTGGCCAGCCTTTGCAGGCACTCCATATCAGCGGGTCCTAACAGGACTCTCAGACTCCCAGACATCCCCATGTCATCAAAAAGGCCAAGGTGAAGGCATAAGAGTTACCCTACAATTCTATTTCCCCCTCCCTTACATTCGGGAGCCCATCAAGTCACCCTGAGTCTGGCCCTAAACCATTTCCTTCTGTACAATAGAGCTTCCATGGGCTCTCTCAGACTCCTGTTAATGCTTCTAACTGGCCACCTTTCCGGTTCCCCACCCTTCACCCCACCTTCTTCACCCTCATCAGAGTAAATCATATACATCACCCTCCTGCCTAAGAACCGTGTTAACACTCCATCCCCTCTACCTCAAAGCCCTTCTGGATCTGACTCCATTATCATTTTAGCTGAGCCTCCCATCCTTCCATCCCCTGTGAATCTTCTCTTGGCCAACACCAAACCTCACCATGCCATGCTCTGATTCTGCCTATCCTTTGCTGATGCTGTTTCCCAGGCCTGGAAGAACCCTCTCCAGGCCTTTCTCCTGCATAAAGGTTCACTCATTATAAAGATTCAGCAGCTCAAGAGACACCTCTCCCAAAAAGCCTTCCCTGAACAAACCCGCAGCCCTTGCAGGCAGAAGGTCCTCTGAGCAGTGCTGACCTCCCCCACAGCCCAGTTTTGACACACCATATCATAACTGTCTCTTTAGCAACAGTCCCTCCTACTGGTCCCTCCTACAGAGCCTGTGAGCTCTGGAAACCATATCCCAGGGCACAGAATAGGGCCTGGCACACAGTAGGTGCTCGATAAATGCCTGGTGAATGGTTGACTAGACCTGAAGTCTGGATGGGCATCTTTCCACAAGAAGAAAGAGTTCCCATATCAATATTGGGCTGAGGGCTTAGAGGGGCAAAGACAGTGCTCCCCACTTCGAACAGCACCAAGAACAGACCCCCAAGAGAAGCTGGCTAAAGGCAGCTGGGACGGCAGGAAAAAGACCTGCAGAAACTGCACTCTCACCTCCAGCTTTGCAAACTTGTCCGACTTGCAGCATGCGTTCTCTGCATTGGTGAGCTTGGTGAGCAGAAACTCCCTGAACTCCGGGCCCTGGAACAGACAAGATGGCCTCAGACTCTCCCTCCCTCAGCTGTTGCTTCAGACAGGGACAGGCAGGAAGAACAGGAGGTGGGGGGAGAACCCCCAAAACGTCTTCCTAGCCCAGGTCAAACCAGCTTCCCTGGCCCTGGCAACCTCCACAGAGGCACATCCATGACTGGAAGCAGTTCTTGTCCAAGACTTCCATGACCAGAACATGATATAAGAACCCGTATTTTAACATAAAGTCAATGCCAGACTCAAATTCCCCAACAAGGGGCTCTTCACTGGCCAGGCTGGCAGCTTGAGAAGAAGTGGGGAGAGACCCCAAGTAAGTAGATTCCCCCAAAACCTGCAAAATAGGTCTCTCTAATATTCTCAACCCAAACACTGCTCCATCTCACCACTGCCACTCCAGTACAGAAACCTGGGGTCTTGGGTATGAGACAAGCAAAAAGAAGTTTCTTCAAAAAAAAAAAAAAATTGCTATAGGATGCATATGCTCAACGAAGCAACTCTCACCTCCAGCTTTGCAAACTTGTCCGACTTGCAGCATGCGTTCTCTGCATTGGTGAGCTTGGTGAGCAGAAACTCCCTGAACTCCGGGCCCTGGAACAGACAAGATGGCCTCAGACTCTCCCTCCCTCAGCTGTTGCTTCAGACAGGGACAGGCAGGAAGAACAGGAGGTGGGGGGAGAACCCCCAAAACGTCTTCCTAGCCCAGGTCAAACCAGCTTCCCTGGCCCTGGCAACCTCCACAGAGGCACATCCATGACTGGAAGCAGTTCTTGTCCAAGACTTCCATGACCAGAACATGATATAAGAACCCGTATTTTAACATAAAGTCAATGCCAGACTCAAATTCCCCAACAAGGGGCTCTTCACTGGCCAGGCTGGCAGCTTGAGAAGAAGTGGGGAGAGACCCCAAGTAAGTAGATTCCCCCAAAACCTGCAAAATAGGTCTCTCTAATATTCTCAACCCAAACACTGCTCCATCTCACCACTGCCACTCCAGTACAGAAACCTGGGGTCTTGGGTATGAGACAAGCAAAAAGAAGTTTCTTCAAAAAAAAAAAAAATTGCTATAGGATGCATATGCTCACTGAAGACAGAGGAAAGAGAAAAAGAGAGGTGGAAAATGAGAAGACACTTCCCAGAAGGACGGCCATGCCTCAATTCCTTCTTCATTCTCTGTAAGAAGGAGACTTATAGGCCCATGTGTTTTTTTGTTTGTTTGGTTGGTTTTTATGGAGAGGTTTTTGCTATAGGGTGCATGTACTCACCAGAAAGATACAGAGAGACAGAAAGCAAGAAATCACACACACAAACCCCCGGCGGGGGGGATGGCCATGCCACAATCCCTTCTCCTCCATTCTCCTCTTGGGATCTTGGGCACGCCCAGCATGAGTTTAAGCCACAGGTCTGGAACTCAAACCATGGTTGGTTACATGGGAGTTCAGTGACATAGTCACTACGCTAACTGCTGGTCCCCAGGTCCATGTGTTTTCCAAGCCACTGGGTTCAGGTCTTGAACCACGCAAGCAGTCATGTGAGATCCAGCTACCTTAACCACCAAGCCATCAACTAGTCCATAAGAAAGAAGAATTTCTTACCTTCTGGAAAACAGGGGGGCTGGGCAGGGGTGGGCCGAAGGCTGGGACGTCTTCCCGCGCTGTGACGGAGACCTGCGTGAAACAGAGCCGCGATGTGAGCTGAGGGGACAGAGCTGAGCTGCCCCAGATGAGCCCCACTCTTCACAGCAAATCTGCTCACCTCTCTCCTCCTCCCCTCCCAGAAAGCAAACAAGATGTTCTTGCGAGCACAGCCAGCACGGGCCCTGAGTCACTGTTCCTAGAAGGGGGCCCGACACTGCGGAGCCATCCACATCCTCTCATGTGCATTCCTGGAGGCCAGAAGCGAGTTTGGCAAGATGACTGGACAGGGCAGAGGAGCAGCCTGAGCCCCTAATTATAATGCAGCACCAGTGTTGAGCCAGCTAGGTGGCAGAGAGGTAACATGCTGCTCAAGCAATGGTCAATCCATACAGAAGGTCAAGGGCTCGGTTCCCTAGGTGCCTGTAAACACTGGCCACTGGGCATGCCCACTCATGCTCTTTGGTGTCAGATGCAGGGCAGGATCCTTCGTTGCCTAAGGCTGGCTGGGAAGGCTGGGGGTGGGAAGTCCTGTTAAGGATATTTTCTCTCTCTCTGTCTCTCACTCTCATGAGAGAAATTAATTAGCTTTAATAATAATACAGTACAAGTATGAGATGTCATCTCATTCCCTCATTCCCTGGTGATGCCAATCACAGAGAAGGCACAATGCGGATTAGTATCCCTGGTTTACTGATAAGGAAACAGGTGCCCAGGGACAAAGGGTGAGCCCCCAAAGTCACGCAGGTGCTCAGCCACAGAGAGGAACAGAGAACCCAGAGCATTCCTGTCCCAGCTCGGAAGTTCTTTTCCCAGTACTGACCACACATCAGAGCTGCTTTAAGTGTTTTAAAAATAAATACCAACTGCATGGGCTCCACCCCAAGGCTACCGAATGGAAAATGGGGCTCCCGGGAGCTTTTGTGCATTCACCTGGCTAGTGTCTGGGCACCCTAGCCCCACAAAGGGTCAACCCATCTTGGGAAGACTGGAGTTGAGGGTGGGGGGACATCCATGCTCTGGGTGAGCTGTCTGCACAGGGTGGCTCTCTCTGCAGGGAGGTGTCCTGGTTCCACCTGCTCTCAGCCCACAAGGCTCCAAAGCACCCAGGGGACTCTGCCCTCCTCCTTCCCCCAGCGGCCGCTGACGTGAGCCTGGCCCTGGCATGCCGCCAGCCTCCCTGGCATGTGAAGTAGGGCAGATGCACAGAGTCTGCCAGACCGGGAGAGCAGGCAGCTCGGAGCGGAGCCAAGGAACGGCCCTGCCAGGGTCTGGAGGGGAGGGGAGTGGGGTGAGAGCACTGGTCAATACGGGCTTTCTTCTACATGGCCAAACTGCAGTGCCTGGAGTCAGGACGCAGTGTGTATGCAGCTAACGTGAGTGATTTCTAGCCAGACTCCAGCTGCCAAACACGGTTACCCACCACCACCCACCATGCACCAGGGGCCCAAGCCAAGGATTCCACCCTAAGAGCCAGAATTGGGAGCAGGGGGCGGTGGGAAGGCTACAGAGAAGCTGCAACCACAGGCACCTGGGAGGATGGGCAGAGGCTGGCCCACCTCCTCCCCTTCCCAGCCACTCCACTTTCCTCCTCAGGCTGCACTGGAGTGGCCTATGCTCTGGGGAAGTGGCTTCAGACATGTTCTTCAATCTGCCCAAGTGTCCCAACCAAACAAGCCTATCACAACAGCCACATTAGACACAGGGGCAGTATCCGGATTCCTTATCATCCACACACCTTCCGGCCACACCTGCTGACCACATTCATTCCCACTAGACGGTCAAGCCTTGGTTGCCCCTCCTCCAGGGATGTCCAGGTTGCTGGGCTGAAAGCAGAAGTTGCTGAACACGGCCCCACCTTCCTGTTTTCTCAACTTAGCAAGTGCTCCCAGCAAGGGCTCTGAGAGCAAAGACAGGACTGCTTCCTGTGGCTGGGGAAGAACATCTTCAAGGCTGGCTGGTGGAAGGAGTTTGTGGGTGAATCCTTTGCACTGGGAGATACAAAGCCTTAGAGGGCTGGAAACTGGACAAGATCCCCATGCTCAAGTGTAGCCTAGGTGCCAGAGAGGCCCATGGAGGGTTGTTCAAGCAAGAGATGAGTATTGGTGCGAAAGGGGGACACACACAGTCAGGGTTCCCTCCAAAAGGTCATCTCCACATAAGAGTCCTTGGATTTTGCGGGACCTGGTGGGGAGGGGGAGGCACAGTGACCTCAGAGGGAGAGAAGAAGGAATCCTAGCAAAGCATGAGCTGGAAATTTTTTCCACTCTGATGGGACAGAGACTAATCTTTCTGAAATATTAACCTGGTAGGGACCAGCAGTTAGCGTAATGGCTATCTCGCTGGACTCCCATGTAGTCAACCGCGGTTTGAGTCCCGCACCCGGTGGCTTCAACTCACGCTGGGCGTGTGTGCGTGCATGCCTGTGATCCCAAGAGGAGAATGGAAGAGAAGGGATTGTGGTGTGGCCATCCACCCTAAGGGTGATTTCTTGATTTCTGTCTCTCTGTCTCTCTCTGTCTCTCTGGTGAGTTCACACACCCTAAAGCAAAAATCTCTCTCTAAAAAAAGGGAGACAGGATCTCAGCCTGGATTTCCTCCCTGTAACACAGGGCTGATGAGGAGCCCTGCCACACATAACTGTTTCTAAGGGCCTAGCACAGGGTCTGGCATGAGCAAGCACCTGGAAGGGGTCCTCACTGTCACCCAGTGCATTTTCAAATTTCCCCATGGACCTGCACCAAATTAAGGACACCTGAAATAAACAGAGTGCCCCCAGACCACAAACAGACAGGCACGCACACACATGCACACACACACACACACACACACACACATCCTCTTTCTCAACTACTACTTCTCATCCCACAGGATGTCAGAGTTCAAAGGAGCTCACAGGTCATCTCGTCTAACTTCTTTGACTCACACAGATAGAAACAGAGGCCAGAGAATCTTCATTGGCCCACCGTCACACAGTGCTCAGAGGCAAAGCAATGCCAGGGCCAGACCCCAGGCTGCCAAGCCACTCCTTCTGGAGCCATTCCTATACGCCCCCACCCTGTCCTTCCCTCCTTTCCTCTTCTTTCCTGTTCCTTGTCCCTGGCCCCCATCCACCAGCACCAGCAGCGGAAGCCTCTAGGGACACGGCTCAGCCCCCGGGGCAATCTCACCCTCCTTTGCTGGAGCTCCTACTCCTGCAGAGGTCAGTTAGGGTCCTGTTTCACCCAGACCTTGGGTCCCATGCCCCCCAAACCTCTGTGATACGGGGAACTGTTGCCCAAGATGTCAGGATCATTTCTTATAGAGAAGACAAGGGAGGTTCAGCAATCTGGCCTTGAGGAGTAACCGGGGTGAGGGCTCCAGAACAATGGGCTACACTCTTGCCTCATCTGCTCTAATGTGGATTTGAGCCAATATGGTGGACCACTTACTGGTCCCACAGGCTTCTGTCCCCGCCTTCCTGGAAGTCTTCAAACTAAGATCATTTGTCCAGAACAGCCAGAGCAAAGGCCTCACAGGTCAACCAGGCCCCTCCTCTCCTGCCTTCTCACCACTAACATTTCTTTTCTTTCTCTTGTTTGTTACCAACCTTCTGCCTCTTCCTTTTCCTGACAGTCTTCTCCACTGTCTTCTTTCTCCCTTCCAGTGCTGCCTTATTCTATTGGATTGTCGGAGAAGTCATGACGCATTTTTGCATAGAAAACTACATCATGACTTTTCCAACAACCCAGCAGCAAATGGCATTACCAGAACCCAAATATGGCACTCAAAGCTTCTGTTAGTGCTGTCGAGCCTGTAGACAGGGAGATGGAACAGACAACCTCCAAAGGCACTCCCCACCAAGGGTCTAGCTCCAAATCTAGAAACCTGAGAACTCACGGAAAACCTATCACTACCGAGAACTCGTATCCTTTGATGTCACCAAATCCACAGAGTACAAGGCATCTGGGCCCACCCCTGCCTCCAACAAGGGTTTGTTCTTACCTTGTAGGATGGGGTCTCTGCACCTGGGGTCTCAGCCTGTACGACAATGTAGGCATGTAAGAAATTGGAGGCGATCATATCTGGGACAAACGGTGTGTTTTCCTCTTGGAAGATGATGGCCACAATGTCATTCCCAATGTGTCTCTTTCTCTGGAGCTAAACAAAAAACATTCAGTCATTATAAGTCAGCTAGGGATACCCTGAAAGCAGAAGAGATTTGTACAGGATATTCTTCACTATTTGATCTTTATATATACATGGGAACTCTGAGGCCTCGCTCTCCAGGGAGCTGCTTCTTTCAGTCTTTAGAAGTCACAAAAGAGAAAAAGCATGAGGAAGAAGCCCCAGTTGCTAGGTAGAGTCTAGTGAGCACCCTCCGCAGCCTGCACAGCCCCGTCTCAGGACTCGGGGAGAATATCTAAAAGGCAAGGCCAGGTCTTGCCCTGATCAAGTCTGTCACTGATCCCAGAGAAGCACACAAAGGTAAAGCCACCTGAGAACACAAACACAGCACCGGCCACAAGTGCTAAGTCAGCTGCTGCCCATGAAGTGCCTGTAAGCTCCAGGGATAGCGAAGATGGAAAAATTGGAGGTCCCAGAGCAATGTGAGAAGGCTTCCTGGGAGGGGAGAAGGGGCTGTGGGAGATTTCATGGAAACGTGGATGAGCGAGGATGGACGGGAGAACAGTCATGTGTAGGAAGGCAGGGTCATTTGGCTTGGCAGAGGTGAGTGGGGACCTAACCCCAATCCAGTATCCCAAGTTGTGCCGGGTGCTTTTACGTGTGTGGTCTGTCATCAGGCACCAACTGTGCCAGAAACCATGCTGGGCGTTCCCGTGCATGATTTCAAATGTGAAGCCCCTCCGGTACAGCACGTCTTAGACGGTGTCTGCATTTGTCCCTTTATTAAGCACCTACTCCTGTAGGTCCCAGGCCTGGCCTTTCCACACCGAGTTTCTCACTGGGCACCAGCTATACCAAACACCGGGCTGGCACTTCTACCCAAATTGTCTCATTTATTCCACATACATCTTCTCATTTTCAGGAAGGAAAAAACCCTTAATTTAAAAAAAGAAAAAAAAGTTATTCAATAACTTTTTCACCAAGAGCAATGCTTGGTACCAAAATATACTTCCCAATTAATACACGTGAGACTGAGAAGGCCCCATGAGAACAAGCCTCAGCCCAGGCTGGGGCAGCAGGGAAGGAGATCACAAGGGAACAGAGAGACCAAAGGTGAAACGCTCAGAGAAAACCTACTTTGATACAAAAGGAATCCTGGTTTTGTTTCTAGAACGTTCAGTAGTTAAGTGAGAGCCAAAGCATGATCGTGTTTGCCAATTTCCTTTTCCCTAAGAAGCCAAGCACTACGTTCCCAGTTTTACATCTGTGTTCCCTCCCCAGATCCCTGCCCAGAAACAAACAGGTCAGAGCTGGGGCAAAGACCCAGCTGCCCTTCTCATTTTCTCAGAGACAGGAAAGAGGCAAAAAGTGGGATGGGGGTAAATAGTGTTGCAGCCACTGGGGGTCGGCGGCTGGCTTCAGAAGAGCAGACCTCCCACACCAGGGATGTGCAGCCATCAGAGCAACAAACGTGAGAGAGAACAGGAAAACACGGGCCACAGAGCTCTCACCCAGGTTTCCTCATTGAGATAAAGGCTGGGTTCCCACCCACAGCGAGGTGTGGTGAGAGGCAGGGCTGGAAATGGAGGGTCGGGTGGTTAGGATTCACATGCAACAACCAGCTTTACAGCACTGGGACGGGAACGGGGCAAAAAGACTCGTGGCCTGGGCAGTTATTCCTACATAGCAGCTAGTATTAACATAAAGGAAGCCAGCCACACGTCAGGGGTCATATGAGCCCCATTTCCAGAAGCTTAGGTAATCCCCACAACAACGCTCTGATGGAAGTGGTGTTCACCCCACTTTATAGACAAGCACAATGACCCACAAGATAAACTGGCTTGCCCAGAGTCACATGCTCCTAATGGCGAAGCTGGCTTCAGGCCCTCATCTGCAGACTCGCCACGCACTCTTTACCACAACCCTGTAGAATCAGGGTACCGGCTCTGCTCCCGGCTCTGCCCCTATTCAACTGGGAAGCTTCAAGAAGTCTTTTAACTCCCCCCACCTAGGCTGCAGTATCCCCACTAGTCAAAGTAGGAATAACCAGACAGACAGATAGGCTTTGACGATGCTCTACACGGCTGGACAGCCTGGTCTCTCGGTATAAAAGTGGGGAGGGGGCCACAGTCCCTCGGGCAGGTCAGACCAGAAGGAAGTCTTCATCTTGCACGCCCCAGCTCCCAAAGCCCTCCCAAACCAGGTTACCTGCTGGGCGTCTCCCTCAGTAAATGGCAGCTTTGTGGAGACGTGAAACATGATCTCCCTGTCCCGGAATGTCGTGTACACCGATTCCACCCCCGTCTGTCCGTGGGTCACATCCAAGCCTCCTCGGAAACTGTCAGTAAAACAGGGCAGAAGTCGGGAGGGAAAAGAAAGTGAGGGAAAGTGGGCAGCTTGCTGCAATGTCCCTAAGGATATGGGGCAGGACGGAGAAGATACAGGAGTGTGGAGGCCAATGAGGTCAGGAGGCAGAAAGAGCAGGTAGATTTGCTCTTCCAAGCAGACTAGTCCTGGCATTCAAACCATGAGTTCATTATTTAAAAGACAAAAGCAGAGCCTCCATTTGAAGCCTTCTCCATGTCCACTCTGGACCAGACAGTCATGTGGAGAGGAGGGACATCCATTCCATCCAGAATCTCAGACAAATGCCCACCCTACTGGCCAGTGGCCCAGAAAACTGGACACAAGCCTTTGCTCTCTGTAAAGCCATGCCCAAGTCCGCAGCCCAGAGCCAGGGCAACCAGCCATTCCACTGGACGGAGATAAGCCCCGCAGGAGCATGCAGTGTCAGCCAGAAAAGATGACGTAGACTTGACTTCCACTCAGCTAGTCCCTGATATGGAGGCCCAACCACGGCAGCACCCAGCGCAGGGGTATCTAGGAGATCTCTCCTCAGGCTAGCTCCTCACAGGCAGGAAAGAAAAGTCCTAAAGAACCAAGTGGGCTTCCAGGAGCTGTCCCTTCTGTCTTTATAGAAACACAATTGACGACCTTGGCTCACAGTCTTCAGCAAAGAGAAGAAAAGGCAGAAGCAGGTTCCCTTGAGGAACTGAAATTGGATAGACCCTAAATGTCAGCCCACAAGCCCACAAGCCCACAAGGCTCAGCCCCAGCACGGCAGAATGGACACTGGCCCGAGAGTCTAGTCCTGTCTCTGCCGTGAAATCAGCTGCCACAGGACCTTGGGCACATCACTTAATCTCTCCAGGCCTCAATTTCTTTTCTTTTTTTACTATAGGGTGCAAACACTTAGTGGAGAGACAGGGAGAGTCAGAGAGACATAAATCAAGAAATCACCCCCAGGGGGAATAGCCATGCCACAATCTCTCCTCCTCCATTCTCCTAACAAAATCTTGGGCATGCACACACATGTACCTGGTGTGAGGTTCAAGTCCCCAGGTCCAGGACTCGAACCACAGTCAACGACATGGGAGTCCAGCATCATAACCATTATGCCATTTGCTGGTCCCAGTTTCTTTTCTTTATAAAATAAAATGATAGTATTAACGTGGTCTCTGGGATCCTTCTGGGTTCAAAAGACTATTTCATTAATTCTAAGATGACTTTTTTTTATATTGTAACATCAGTGAAATCAGGGTGTGCCTTATAATGATGGCACCTCAAAGTTGATGAAAAATGATAAATAAGAACAACCTCACTAATGACGATGAGTGTGTGGCAGGAGCCTAAGTGCTCACATACATTGTCTACTTTAATCCCCCCCCTGGGATCCATGCTGTCCTTCTCTCTCTTTTTACAAATAAGGAAACTGAAGCTTGCAGAGACAACCACTTGTCCAACACAGTAGAGCTGATAAGTGGCCATGCTGGGATGCTAATCCAGATGTGATTGACTCTAGACAGCAGTGAGGACCTTGAAAAGAGAAGATGGAGAAAGGGGAAAAGGAAGAGGAGGCAGAGAAAGAAAGCAATTACTGGATACCTACTGTGTGCATAACAGGCACTGGTCTCAGTGCTTTCACACATGACATTAGGAGCTCCTGTCAGGGGCTGTGGGGATGGAGAATTTCGGGCACCCAGTTGTGTGCCAGCCACCAGCCATGGAACGGGCTGGCCGGCCAAGCCTAAACTCTTCCCAAATGTTGCCTTTGCCAAGGGAAATTAAGGGCTGGATTTTCCAAGCAACAGCCCCAGTAGTCTATCTTTCTGTCCACTTAAAGAACCATAGACTCAGGGCCAGCAAGTGGCATTGTGGTTAAGGCAGCTGGATCCCACATGGCTAACAATGCAGTTCAAGTCCCAGATCTAGCAGTTTGGAAAATATGCTGGGCACGTGTGTATGTGTCCTCAAAAATCCTGAGAAGAAAATGGAGGAAAGAGATTGTGGCATGGCCATGCCCCCAGGAGAGAATCTCTCACTTTCCCTCTGTCTCTCTCTGGCAAGTATATACACCTTATAGCAAAAACTAAAAAGAAAAAGAAAAAAAAAACATAGACTGTTACATGAATACTGCTTGGGGGATTATTATATTTGCATCAACTCTTTATTACCCATTCTCTGTGTTTTATCTAAAATGGGTCATTTCTCCCCAAACTGCACAGAGCTCTCCTTCCTGAATGCCTAGCAGGTGAGTGATGAGAGGTGGATTCACTTCACTCTCAGTCTGCTTTCCAAATGTAATTGGGAAAGCAAGTCTGAGGGGAAACGGTTCACACACAACCTAAGGCCAAACGTCAATGCTGTTCAGATAATCTGCCATTCTGGATTACGCCGTGAACCACTGAATCCTTACTGATGCAGGTAGGTGAAGGCTGACCAGATGCTGAAAAACAGCCCCATATTCCTTGTGCATGTTTTTAACTCTTCCAGGCTCTCCCTGAGAGCTGCCTGCCCCATCCTTGTGCTAGGACCTCATCAATGGAGCTGGAGCCATCACTTGGATAAAACCCACCCTTTGAAGTCTTGCAGTACTATCGTGTCCCCCAGCAGGTCTAGGAACTCCTTGAAAGCCGGGCTCTCCTCATTGTTCCCAAATAGCTCTTCCTCCAGGGTCTGAAAGAAAAACACAAATAGAACAGGAGTTAGAAAAAGCATTCTTGGTGGAGCAGGCAAATGGCATGGTGGTTAAAGGCGCTGGACTCCCACAGGGCTGACTGTGGGGATTTGAGTCCCGGACCTGGTGGCTTACTTTCTCTCTTTCTCTCTGTCCGGTCAAATTCAAAAATAAATAAATAAATAAAGTTAAATTAAAAATAATTCTTTATAAAAAAAAAAAGAAAGAAAGAAAGAAAGAAAGAAAGAAAGAAAGAAAAGGAAAAGGCTTTCTTGGTGCCAAGGAAGGAATATGGTTGACCAGATACTGGTCCCTTGCTTCCTTTCTCCCTACTTGCAATATATCCACCACGGATGTCCTCAACTTGAGGAAGGACTGATACAGCTTCACTTGACAAAGCAGAATCTCCAGGGCTGTAAATGAGGCTTTCTATCTGAGCAAATGCTGCTGGCCATTACAAAATGCAAGGTTCGGGACCAGCAGATGGCATAATGTTTATATTGCTGGACTCCCACATGACCAACCATGGTTCAAGTCCCAGACCCAGAGTCTTGAAACTCACAACAGACACATGTGCATGTATGGCCAAAATCCCAAGAGGATAATGAAGAGGAAAAGACTGCAGCATGGCCAGCCCCACCACGGGGAGGATTTCTTGCTTTCTGTCCCAGTCTCTCTCTGTCTCTCCAGCAAGTACATGCATCCTATAGAAAAAAAAAAAAAGCAAGGCTCAAGACCCTTATGTTAACAGAGCAGTAAAACATGATGGTCTATGAGGCAATCTCATGTGAGAAGGTTCCAGGTTCATGTCCAGAGACCTCTCTGAGTACACCAGGAACACACTTGTTCATACAGCAGAGCTGGCTAAAGGCTTGGAGTGGATCACAGCATAAAGGGAAGGATCCTGTCTCTCTTTCTCTCTCTCTTTCTCTCTCTCTCTCTCTCAAGAAATGAATAAATACACTGTTAAAAGAAAGTCGAAGTATTTTTAGATTTGACACCAAAAACACATCCTGTAAATGAAAAATTGACAACTGGAATTTCGCCAAAGGACTAGTATCAAAGTAAGAACTCTCAGAACTCTATAGTAATCAAAACCACAGTGAGAGACCACTTCATATCTACTAGAATGGCTATAATAAAAAGGCAATAAGGCAAATCCACAGAGACAGACAAAGATTAGTGGTTGCCAGGAGCTAAAGGAAATGGAGGTGGGGATTGACTTCTAGTGGGCCCAGGGTTTCTTTTGGGGATAATGAAAATTAGAATTAGATAGTGATAGTTATTGTACTACCTCGTTAGAACACGAACTACTGAATTGTATACTTTATGGAGATATAATTCACATATGATTGTAAACTGTATGGTATGATAATTATACCGCAATAAAGCTGTTATAAAAAATTTAAACTCGGGGGCCGGCAGGTGGCGTGGTGGTTAAGGGCATTGGGCTCCCACAGGCTGACTGCGGTTTGGGAGTCTTGAGTCTCAGAACTGGTGGCTTGTTTTCTCTCTTGCTCTCTCTCTCTCTCTCTCTCTCTCTCTCTCTCTCTCTCTG